ATAACCAGTTCTCTTTTCATAATCCAGTCAATTTTCAGCTCATCATTTTACAGCCAGACAGTAGCAGCAATGCATGTCAGTTAAATGGACGCAAAAAATTTTGAAAGAGTGCGCCACGAATTATTCTAAAATTTGCAAAACTCAGCCAGCACTTCTGGAAATCAGAAAATTTCTTTTTTTTTTTGAATTTAATTAAGATAACCAACTCCCTACGATTTGTTTATTCGTTTCGATGGTAAACTGGTGCTGGCATTTGTCCGGTAGTCAAACCCGCAATCAGCTTGCTTGCAAGTAATCATCGAAAGAGGGTGCCCTTGACAGCTTTGTCAGCAAGTGATTGCTGTTAGCATTTGCTACCATTCGGGCTATTTCCCAAGTAGCTGCACCTGTCATATGGAGGAAGCTGAAGGAAGGGTTGAATATGGAGGAAGCTTTGAATCGGAAGTACAAAAGTCAGAGATGCGAACAAAACGAAGCGATACGCAAAAAGCTCTTTTGGCATCAAAGGCGGCTAAATCAAAAGTTAAATGAGACATGAGTTCACGGCATTTTCATCCTCCACAAGAGACGAATGCACTCGGATGCAGCCCAGTTGGTAGTATTAACAATTGGCTGACAAAATTAGACTGTCGGTGGCTACTTTTTCAAGAAAGTTATCTAAACATGGTGCACTACTGGTTCTATGATAGGTCAAGTTCGATGTAAAATTTAACTCAAATCACGATCAAATGTGAATTTGACAGATTTTTTTCGAAAAGGGAGAAACTGTAACGATAAAGTTATAATTAAAACGTATAAAAATATATTATGCATAAAATCTTGCCAAGTGCTTTTGTTCAAAGAACCACTGAGCTGATAATCCTACTCAAAAGAAAAAACCATTGAAACCGCCACTGGGCTTACCAATAGATGGTCGTCTAGTATTGGCCAAAACAGATAAAAAAGTTGCCAGATGCACAGCTAATCGATCAAATTATAGTCTTCGAGACGAACAGAACTGCATTTTGAAAAAGAAGAAATTTGCTGCGTTTGCAGTTAACTTATTTTTTCGATACTTTGATCACTTGCAGTTCACTGCGTGGCTCTCTATTTGCACGACAAGTAATCAAAAACAAACTGCCCTCCTTCCCTCCTCCCTCAGCTCTTTCCCTATACACATAATTGGGGTTGGCTGTGAGGAGAATGCTTGTTTTTGTTGCCAAACGAAAACCATGGAGAAACATTTTTCGCAGGGCAAACAAGAAGAGCCTGTGACTAATTCCATTTTTGACAATAGTATTTCACATACCACACATACCTGCATACAGTTAAATGCTTTTGCAAAACAATTTCATGCCTTATTATTACATGAGAAACATATCATAAACAGTAGCGTCAGGAAGGGAACGAAGCCCGAATTCCCTTTTCAGGAAAAAAATAAACAGTTATCCCTTTCAACACAAAAAAAAACACGCTTCTTTATTTATTACATTTCAGCGATGGAGCTTGACATGCCTCTTCGCAACCACATAAACAGTCAGACTTTCTTTCAGATGAGTGGTGTGCAAGACATCTTAACGATCATGTGGGGACGTGGAACTGTTTGCCTGCCTTACTAACAACCGTTGAAAGTCGCGCATTAGTGATTGGTGCCTGTGAGGAAAAAAACGACCACTCGGGCGATCTGCGAAGAAGTGACGGACGCACATCGAAGGTGCTGAAGATATGAAGCCCAAAGTCGGAACCACCTGGCGTGGCTGCTCCAGGCGTGCAAGAGCATTCCAGTAGTTTCACTAACATTGGATTCCCGCACTGAGGGTGAAGGCTGTTTTGTTATTCTTGGTATTAGTACACGCATTCTATATTTGAGTTATGCAGTTTAAGGTGACCTGGCGTTAGCAGCGTGGGAAAATCCTAGTAACGTCAGTAAAATGGGATGATCTGTTTTCTCACTTCCCCCGTCCCTTTTTTCCTCTTACTGCCTCTCCCGCCCCTCCTGACCCATCTGTTTCCCTCCCTCTCCTTACTCTTCCAATTATTTGGATGATCTTAGCGTACTTGCTATCACTGTTAAGAAATTTTTATTAAGATTAATTATCCTGGTGATCTAGGTGTCTTCCGTAAAATGTTACTCAAACATAAAAGAACACTTCAAAGACCGTCTTCAAGAACGTTGTTAAATGTGTTTTTTTAAAAAAAGAATTTTACTTCTGTGCTTTAATCGAGAAACTGCAATCTCACTGTTGTTGCTGTGAGAGTGATATTTTTAGTTGTGTTGAATTATTCATAAACTTTATGTGCTACTGATGAATCACGAAAATATAGTGGCAAAATCGTCTTTGCAAAGGAGTTTTTGTCTAGATAATTTAGCAGTGAAATATACCAGTTAATTTAGCAGTAAAACGAAAGCTAGGAGACGATAGTTGGGTGGTTAGAATACAATGCTAGAGACCTGAAATAAGCTCTTTGTTGTGTAACATTTATTGTTCTTTCATTTGTTTCGATAGTAAATTGGTACTGGCATATGCCGACAGTCAATCTTGCCACGTGCTTGCTTATAAGCAACCTTCAGAAAACGGAGCCATCGACAGCCTTGTTAGCAAATGGTTATTGCTGACATCTGCTAACAATCGAACACTTCCCGAGTGCCTTGGTTTCTCAAAAACAGCAAATAAGAAAAGTTTCGCGTTTCGACTTTTTTGAGCATAAGTTATCCTGAAATCGAAACTGAGCCTGCAGACGAAGTGGCACAAAAGGGCGGAAAGTTCACCGCATCTTTTATTCGTGATCTGCAGCTGCGATATCTTTGCTTTGCTTGTTTCTGAAATCAATATCCAGAAAAGTGCAAATAAGCTCTCAAAAGTACGCAGAAATTTTCTGAAATCGAGGGAAAAAACACGATATTTTTCAACATTTTCGGAATTTATCAAGCCAAAAATTAAAGTTTCAAAAAAGTCCAGGTCTTCACGATCATCTGGCGGCCTTGAATGCAACTGCTTTTAGCTCTATCAGCCCTTTGCTTTAAAGTGTCCCGATGTGTTTATTTTGCCCTGGATTAGGTAAAAGCCAACTGTAGCCGAGATTAGCTGGGCAAATAATCACAATACCTTCTCGGCTTGCAAGAAAAACATACATGCAAAGATGTAGATTAATGTAGATTAAATGGAAGAATCGAAAAAAGGATGAGGATGATGGACTCAATAAGATGGTGAATTACGAACGAGAAGTTAAGAAGTTTTAAGTTGTGAAGGCCTTAACTCAGTGCTGCAACTGGACCTCGTCAGTGTAACGGTTTTTTGTTTTGAAGTAGGAAAGAAGATAGGAGGAAAGGTAGAGAGACAGTAAAGGAGAGATGAGGACACAGATAGAAACCCAGGTTGGAG